AAATCATAAGTCAATAATTTGAACTTTGAAGTACTAATTAGATTAAAGTGTTCTGAAGTTAGCCAGGCATAACACACAGTGTGCAAACACAAAGTTGCAGGCGACCCTCATCCCTCATTTTAAAACTTGCAAGGAAAGAGGTAACCTGTCCTTGCCTTTTACCCTAAACACACAGCATCAGGCTGGAGCGAGTGAGCTGGTGTGAGCATGCATGGAGGGAGTTTGTGATGAACTGTAGCACTCACCTCTGATCTTAAACTATCCTTTCATGCTTTGTCTATACTAACAATGATGAGATGGGACAAATGGTATTTTTGTTTTGTTTTGTTTTTTGTTTTAAATAGAGTTTGGGTACTTTCCCTGCCCACACTTTTCTTACAGATAGCTCAGAAAGTTGTGGGTAAACCACAGCACTTGAGCTCAGTGTTCTTTATTTCTGACTTCTCTTGTGTCTCCTCTGTAGCATCATCGCTTCTGCCCTCGTGGGCCGGTGTGGGCAGGGATAAGGAGGAGAGACCCGCTGTGCCTAGCGTTGGTGCAGTCACTGAACCAACCAAGGCTTTCTCAACCTGACTCTTCTCCTTTTAGATACTCTTTTCCAGATCCTTGTACATTTGCCTCTCTTACCACTCCTTTTCTAGAACCAGGTACCTGTCAGCTCACATCTAACTTTGCTCTCTCTGTATATGACCCTATGTGGTCAAAGAAAATCTCAGAGTTGAATTGAGACACACAGAAGAAGACAGACTTCAGGAGGCGGAGTTCAAAAAGAGAAACTCAAGTCAATCCAACTAGCAATACAGAGAATCAGAATGAATGATGTAGAAAAGCAAGCTAAATAAAATAAATAAATAAATTGTATCTTATAACATTGGAAAATTCCTCCAGTAAAATATACTGTCAAAATGAGTTAATAAGAAAATCCTGCATATATGGTGTACAGTGCAAGCACATGAGAGAATGATAGACACAAGTTGCATGGATTAATCAAGAAATAACAGAAAAATAGAATAAAAATAAATCTGAAGAGGCAATGCCAGCAGCCAGAAACCTAACATTTACGATATTAAAAGGGTTAAATCTTTTAAGAAAACTGTTTTAATGATAAAACATAGTTTATTGCGAATATGTAATAGCAGTTTGACATACATGCAGCAAATGACAGATGTATAGTACAAAAAAAACCTGACAAGAATTTTATAAACAAGGGAGATATACAGCAGTTCAGTGGCAGAAGTCACCTTCTCTGGTTGTAACACCAATAAGCAATGCAGAAGCGTTTTATTTGTGGCAAGGGTTTGGAGGAATCGATTTTACCCTCTAGTGCTTGTATAAGTATGTATGTATACTGTGTATGCACGTGGGTATGTGGTACGCATGGATGGATGGATGTTGGCATGTATGTGGCCCGCATTTGTGTGTGCATGTGCCCAGGTACGAATGTGCATAGGGAGGCCCAAAGTTAATGTGGGGATATTTTCCTGGTTGCTCTCTTTCTTACTTTTTGAGCTGGAGTCTCTCTCAGTTAACCAAAAGCTCGCTAGCTGGTCTAACTAGTCAGCTTGCCCTAAATAGTCCCTTGTCTCTGCTGAGATTACGGGTAGGCACACAAGCTCACTTAACCATTCACATAAATTCTGGGCACCCGAAATGCAGCATTCTCATTTGCATGGCAAGTACTTTGCCCATCTACTGAGCCTCATTCTGGGCCAAAATATACTCTGAAAGGTCAGCCTACTCGTTGTAGTTGCTACCTAGAACTCCAGCATTCAATATCATCCTAAGCGGGGTGATAACGTGTGAGAAGACATCCTGGATTACATAGTGAAACTCTGTTAAAAATTGCAAGAAAAGCTACTTAGCATCATCTTTGATATTTAAGGCTGCTCTACCTTAGTGCCAGAAGCTCCACAAATAAACACTGCTGAAATGGTTTTATTGACTTGATCTTTTGGGTAGAAAAAGAAAAATGATCAAGGAATAAGTAAGTGGATGTTGACTGGAAGGGAATATTTTTAATAAGCTACTTTTCCATGATGTTATGTTGCTATGCTAAATGAATACAATGGAGCTTCAATTTCTGATTCAAAAGGAATTTCATCAGCTATCATTGAGTGAGAAGGAACAGAGGAAGAGCTATACAATAGATTTGTTCTTTATGTCTTTTATCAATGCATATGTGCATACCTTCATATACATATCAGTTACCTACCTACCTATGTACCTGCGTTTGAAACAAAGATCCACAAACATAGCATGGCTTCTGTAAGCACTTAGAGTTAAGAAATCTTTGGCTATATTATAAAATTTGGCTACAATATGATAGAGACCAAGAGAAAAAAGGTCAACTTAAGGAAATTGAAAGATTCATATCTTGGAAAGATTCCTAATTTCTCATTGAATGAAAAATAGAAGTTTGTGTAAAAGTGTATGACTTGATTGCATTTAAGCTAAAAGTAAAAGTATCTGTCTTCTGTCTTTCTATTAGTCTATCATCTGTTGATCCATGTATCACCTATCAACTATCTATTTTTCTATCATCTGTCTATTTATCATCTATCTACCACTATTGATATATGATCTATTTATCTATCTATCATCTATCTATAATCTATCTATCTACATACCTACCTACCTACCTACCTACCTATGTACCTACCTAACTACCTACCTATCACCTATCCACCTACATTGCATTATAGAAAAGGCAATTTCTTTGTGTGAGAACCAAAAAAAAAAAAAAAAAAAAAAGAAAGTTAGAATTTTAGGATTCTGTGTCTTTGCTAAGTTCTTTACTTTCTTAGCATGCACACTGTTTTCATATTTTCATAAATATTAGTTTTATTATTTATGGTATGTGTATATGTATGTATGTGTACACATGTATATACAGGTGCCCGTGGAGGCCAGAAGAGGGTGTTGCATCCTTTGGTGATTGTAGGCCTTCTGACATATATACTGGAGGCCAACCTGTGGTCCTCTGGAAGAGGAGAGGACAGTAACCAGGGAGCCACCTCTCCAGACCCAATATTACACTTTAACTTAAGGAACTCAGAAATTGTTCCAGGTAGATGAGGTTTGAAAGCTTTGTCCAAAAAAATGTTCTGCATGTATTCTTTGCAAGTGTCATATGTCAGGACAGGGATTATATATATGAACCTAACCTGAGAAAAAGTAGAAAGCTATCATAGGCTCTTACTAACAAAGCAACTGGAGATTCAAAGCAAGAAAAGACATGCCTTGAATCTGCCATGTTGGATTAGGGGTTAAGACCACTTGCTGCTCTTCCAGAGGATGAGGGTTTGGTTCCAAGCATGCATGTTAGGTGCACACAACCACCTGTAACTGGAGCTCCATAGGATCACATCCCCTCTTGTGGCCTCTGTTGGTGCCTATGCAACACACACACACATAGACACACACACAGACACACACACACACACACACACACACAAATGAGAAAAATCTTTTTGTAAAATGATGAACTTGGATGCTACTGACCTGAAAGTAGAGAGAGCACTTGGAATATGTGAGACATATATATGTACATTCTTCCCACACCAACAAGCCTACAGGGATCCCTATAGAGCTGCAGCCCTGGCTGCTGCAGTGATCTTAGCCTCGTGAGGCTTTCAGCAGAGAAACCAACAGACCCAAGCCATGTCCAGACATTCAAGCCACACACACACACACACACACACACACACACACACAATGTGAAGTAATAAATGTATGTCATTTTAAGCCGCAACTTTGCGGTAATTTGTTCCATCAGCACAAAATAATGTGTCCAACGTTTTGAAATGTTATATGAAAGTAGAAAACACAGTGTGGTTTCTTAAGATACAACAGAAAGATTAAGTATATGAGCTTTGAGGTGAAATACAACTAGGATCAAGTTTTATATTTTTGGCTAATTTGCTTTTCTATTCAAAGGAAATTCTTTGTCTAAATCTCAAATCTGTAGAATGGTGTAATGGTAATAGTTTAAAGGTTGTGTGTGTGTGTGTGTGTGTGTGTATGAGTGCACGCACACAGACACACACACACACATGCACACACTCAATAGTAACCAACACAATACAAATAGGGCTTTCAGAAAATTAAAAAGAAATGTAAAATTTCTGCTATTAGATTTGTTGTTTGTGCAACTCTATAGTGAGACTTGAAATCATAAGTCTTAGAAAATCATACTTAAACTTAAATAAACATGCTGCTCCCTATTGCTTTCTCTTTTCTTTCTGGCCTGATTTTGGCCATCTCATCTTTGCTGCTGAGCAACTTGGTTTGAGACTCCCAGTAAAGGAGCTTGTTCAAGGGTTTTTGTGATCTCATCTCATGATACTATTGATTCTAAATTTTAAAACACTGGCCAGGGCAACCCCAACTGGCAGCGGGTAGCAGAATTCAACTGTTGGAGTGAAAGTGTAGGATGAGAATCAAGGCTTGAGTCTTAATACCTGTTTCCTTGTGAATGAAGCTGTAAATAACACTCCTCAACAAAGCTATTGCTGTTCCAAGCTCTAGAATCTTCTAGAATAGAGTATTTTTTTTTTATGAGATCCTAAGGTCAGGCATTAGCACAGGGGTTCGCTGAACCAAGGTATCCAGGAAGACAACAGCCAGCTTAGGATTTCATGATAGACCATTAAGAGGAGGGACAGAGGGATAGATCTGAAATGAGATCCCAGAGATGTGCCTGAGGATGGAGAATCCTTCCTCAGCGAGGACAGGGAAGCAGCTCTGAGACAGCTGTACTGGTAAAGTGAGCCTACGTTGTGTGGCTTAGCACAACTAGCACTACGTGAAATTCCTACAGTAACTGACTTGAAGCGGGGGGCATGGGCCAGCGTGGCACCTCCTTCTTTGAAAGAACTCTATTATTCCCTGCTTGTCAGGCCTTGTATAAGCTCTTATATGTCGGTGGTGTGAGATTACATCACCTCCGAAGTGAAAATCTCTATAATCTATTTTTCCCACCTCTTTGTTTTTAACTCTAGGGAACATTTCTAATAAAATTGATCCCTGCCCTAGGGACTGTGATCTCTGCCTCTTCAAAGAAGTCCATGACTTACAAGCTAAGGTAAGAGGGAAGCTGCTGCTAGAAAGACCATGAAAACAGCAATCACTGGTTATTAGCTTTGATTTCTTAAAATGTATTTCCAGGTTGAAGGTAATTTGTTCTTCAAAGCAGGTTTTGAAGTGCGGGACACGCTGAAGCAGCTAATGTCTGACAAAGCTACAGAGCCAGTAAATTTTTATTACATCCGATTCAGACCTCTCTGAGCTATTGAGAAGTTTAGTTTAAATTAATCCGTCTGGGTGCCTTTCCATCTTGAGAGGACAATTAAAAAAATGTGTTAATTGTGCTGTGTTTCGGGGACTCACTTGGCATGATCAGAGCTGCCAGGAAGTGTGTGTATAAGCTATCTCATATTTTATTATTTATATGTTTATTGTATACAGTGCCAGGGCCAAAAAATACACAGGACCAAGTACATATTAAGCTATCACTCTGCTATACTCCCAGACCTAAAAACAAACAAACAAACAAACAAACAAACAAAAAGCCCCAACTCAGGAAACTAAATTAGGTGGCCAGGGCTTCAAAAATATTGTCTAACAAATCTTTCCTGGTATTGTGAATCTAGGTTTTTGATAACTATTTCTAAAATTTATTTTTATATAGGCTGAGTGGTTTTAAACATGATTCATCAAATTTAGGCTGGTTATAAAGTTGAAGTAGCTGGGCATGGTGACATATGCCTGTAATCTCAGCACTTGGGGAAAAGGTAAAACGGAAGTTTCTTTGAGACCACCTGCTCCCGAGTAATGACATGAAGACATTTTATATTTATTATAAGCTTATGGCACTATAGCTGGGCAGATTCTCAGCTATTTCAACCAAACTGTACTGGCCTGGCCTGCACCCCAGCACGTGGCCTTTACCATCAGTCTCTGGTCTACAGGGTTCTTCCTTCAGTCCAGCTACTATGTCTCAGCTTCCTTTCCAGAGGCCCACCTCTCTCTCTTGCCTCAGCTGTTGGCCATTCAATTCCTTATTTAGCAAATCACAGAGTGATGGAGAACAATATTTACAAATACCAAGGAGGCAGCAAAAGCTTAATACAATGCTTAACAAACTACTTAATATAAATGATAATACCAAGGCCTGTACTCAGTTCTCTGGATGCAGGAATCAGCATTTGAATAATACAAAGACCATATTTACATAGTGCACAAAACCATCTCTCCAACAAGACAGAGTGAGCAAGATCACTAGTTTGAAGTCCGCCTGGGAAGACTGCCCCAGATAGAGTGGGGAAGGGGAGGGAGAGAGGAAGGAGAGAGGAGGGAGGAGGTAAGAAGTGGAGAGGACAGGAGGAAATTCAAATAAATTTCTCCCCTGGTCTTATCACTTATATAAAACGTATCTGAATTGTCTTACTTACCTCAATTCTCCACTTTTACATCTAATTAAATCTAGTCATGAGGGGAACAAGGATTTTTCCATCAACAGTGGACCAAATGAGTAATGATCAGACTGTAAAAGTTGACTATCACCTATTACACAGCCATCTTAGCTGGAGAAAGGACACCATGTATATATTTCACAGAACATTGACATTGCCTGCTGAGGCATTGTTAGAATATGTTCACTGCAAAGATAGCAGAGTGATGGAGGGGCCAGTGAGGTGGGCCAGGGGACAAAAGTGCTTACCATGCAAGCCCGGTGACCTAGATTTAATCCCCAGAATCCATATAAAGTCAGAGAGAAAGAACTGACTTCACAAAGTTGTCCTCTGATCTTCACATATGCACTACAGCATAAGTTTTCCCAGCAATCACACACAGAGACACAATAATAGTAAACATTTAAAAAAGGATAGATGCTTTAAGGGATAGATCTATTGAAACAACTTTCTTGGCTTGTTCTTAAGACTAACTTTAACATCACATTTGCTTTCTTTCATCTACGATTATCAGGTCATCACACACACACACACACACACACACATATATATATATCTGATTACATATATGTAATACTACTGATTTAAAAATAAGGAATGACTCCTAATGATATCCTACTGTAGTCAGAGTTCAGCGCATTATTCAGCCATGATCAGAGAGGCTTCTTCCTAATATTGAGCCCCATTGGCAGCCAGGCGGTGCAAAGAGAAAAAGACATTGGAACAAATATATATATATATATATATATTCATATTCATATTCATATTCATATTCATATTTATGGTAATATCAGCAAAGTCAGAAACAAGGGCATGTCATATTAATTTGCTTTGATTCCTGCGTGCACCTGGTGTTTGTTGTTATCCGTGGCTTGCAATTCTGTGATCTTATTAACACAGGCCTTTTAGTCTCAGATCTTCCTCTCCTGCCATCTTAAAAAACAATAAAAAACTGCTGAGCATCGCTCTCACTGGCACTGACGTTACTCCAGCTCTTATGATCTTCCCAGGGCAGTTCAAAAGCATCTGTAATCCTCAGGATTCAGCCTTCAGACACTGTTTCCTCCTTCCGGGGCCACCTCCTTTGATGAGAACGATTCCCTTGCTCGTCATCTGGCCAGATGGCCAGGTGAACACTCTCCCCTACACATCATGCTCCTAGTGCCTGCTAGATGTCAAGGGAAGCAGGGCTGCCACTGAGTGAAGCTGACACAGTAAGGCTTCTCTACAGCACTATGTCCCTGTGCTCTCTCTCCACTGGGATCCCCATATCCTCACCCTTGTCTGTGAGCCCAGGGGCTTAGGGAAAGAACTATGATCAAGGGGCAAAACCATCTGAACACAAATACTGGCACTCTGAATTTTGTTCTTGCTGGACACTCAAATAGATCCAGAGGTCATGAGCTCAGATCATCTTGAAGCCTGCTTCCTTCCTTTATTCTACTCGGCTTCCTAAGTGCTTACCATAAAGGCATCAGAGAGGGGGTTGAACACCCACTTCATCACTTATACCATACATCATACTGTGAAGATTCTGCATTCACCTTAATATTGTAAAACATCTGAAGGCTGGAGTGGTGGATCAAGGGTTAAGGGGGCATACTGTTCCTGCAAAAGATCTGAGTTCCATTCTCACACCTGTATCACATGGTTTATAACTGTCTATAATTCAGCCTCCAAGGGGTCCAGCAGCTCTGTCTTAAATGCACATCTGTACTCAAGAGTGCTCGTATCCAGGCCCACACATTTAGACATAATTAAAAATAAAATGAAATAAAAAAATAAAACATTTGAGGGCTAGGGCCTTATTCCTAAAAAGAATTATGTAAATATATAATTATATTATAAATATATTATAGTAGTATACATAATAAAGTAACTATATGATACAATATTTAAAATTGCAAATATATAGTATGATATATAATATTTAAGATACATTTATCATTTTACTTATGATTTCTGTTTATGGAGAAAGTCATAACAGATTAGTTCCACATACAGTTACAAGTATATGTGAGTCTGAGTTGACTTTCACTAAAATGAGATCTGATCAGTGTAAGACAAATAGTGTCTCAACTTCTAAGACTAAGCCTTCAGTTTGTGGTCCTGTCCACTTGTAGCCAGTTGGTGTGGGTTGTAGGCACACACACGCATTTCTGGCTTCTGATGGTACTCTTTTTAGCTTCTCGCTACAGCACTGGCATTATACATTTAGACTTCCAAAACCTCTGAAGACACATCTGCCCTTCACTTTATGCTGCACGTGGCAGAGAGGTCTCTCCGTGCTTCCTAACCAATGCTGCATCTGAATAGCAGTCCTCATCAACCCAATATTTAGTCCATCAATGTGAAAATCAGATTCAAAGCAGAACTCTCTCTTTAAGTATTTGCTTTTTATGTCTGTAGTGGGTCAGGATATGAACAGCCACATACATAATGTCTATCCTGGGACATTTTAGAACTTGCATACACTGGTTTCCCATCCAACGTACAGATAATAATGTTTCTAAAGCACTACTGTAGGAAGACCACACTCGGGGTTCCAGTCTTTAAAGACAGCGTTCTTCTCCTTCACACTTCAGACAGGATGTGAATCTGGAATGGACCAGGATGTCTCCTCTGTCTTTCAAGTGTTGACACTACTTTAGTTGAAGCCTTATTTATCAGCCATATAGGAAAGATAACAATTTGTGCTTTAGTGGACTTCGGAGAGCATTAGATGCCATGGGAGCTGGAATACAGATTTTCATACAGGTTTTCAAGTATAAGTCTTCGACATTTGTTCACATTTAAAAAAAAATAAAGATAAAAACTCTTTTTTTTTTCTTGTTTAGGGGACTTTTTTGAGTTTTAGAATTTGTCCATGTATTTCTTTATGAGTTAACAGCTGGAGACAATGTTCATTTTTGCTAGTTGTAAGGTGAGTGAAACGATCTAATAACTGTTTCCTGAGCATCTAGTGTATTCTTAGTATCATGCTAGGTGCTGTGAAAGACCCAGTGACATACACAGAATCCCACTTTGTCATTAGTTTAGTTGATGAACAGCAAAGATATTCATAGACTAACCAAATAGAAAGGAATGTGATGGCCTCTGGCGTAAAACACCTGCATTTCTGTGAGTCAAGGTGGAGGGTGTGGAAGCCCAATCAGCAGAATAGACATTGACATCCACGTCAGCTTTCTTTTATCTTTACTTATTAATTTTATGTGCCTGAGTGTTTCCTACATGTATGTTTTTTGCCCTTTGGTGCATGCCTGTTCCCTTGGTTTCCCTTATCACTGGGGTCACAGATGCTTGTGAGCTGCCATGGGGCTGCTGAGGATCAAACCCAGATCCTTTAGAAGAGCAGCCAGAACTCTTTGCTATTTAGTCATCTTTCAACTTTCTATCAAGGAAGATAGCATAAGACAAGAACGTCATAAAGAAGTGGAGTCAACTTATGATTTAAATGGCTACAAAGACATTTGAGACAATTCGAAGAGCTCATATTCTTCTCAAGAATTTTGACACTCTTCAGCTTCCATAGCGATGAGGTAATTAAGAACACCAGTGTGAATAATCTGATCAGAACTATTCTTATTGTTTTGAGAGCTTTACAGGCTAAGAAAGATAAAAGGGACCACAAGAAAAAGTATCTGAAGTTCATGGCTGTCATAACCAGATTTTGTTCTTAAAGTAATCAAACCAATCAATTCCATATAAAAGAAATAAGCCTCCTTGGCTTCACTGGGGATTTGATGACACATTGACCCCACCTGGGTTTCTACAGGCTTCCTGGTTACTGCTACCTGCCAACCAAAGCCGAACTTTGCAATTGCAAAATAAACTCTGAGTTATGCTGAAACTTGGATCAGCTGAGATCAAGGCATTTCAAGTAACTGGCCCCTAACAAATGACAACCTAAAGCACAAGGAAGAGATGGTTTTAAGGTGACTGTTACAAAGATAACACCCAGTGCTCTATTGTCCGAGGCTCATATACTACTTTTTTTTCTTCATTAATTACACTTTATTCACTTTGTATCCCCCCTGTGGTTCTCTCCCTCCTCCAGTCCCAATCCCTCCCTTCCTCCACCCTCTGCATGCATGCCCCTCCCCAAGTCCACTGATAGGGGAGGTCTTTTCCTTCCTTCTGATCCTAGTCAATTAGGTCTCATCAGGAGTGGCTGCATTGTCTTCTTCTGTGGCCTGGTAATGCTGCTTCCCCCTCAGGGGGAGGTAATTAAAGACCAGGCCAATCAGTTCATGTCAGAGACAGTCCCTGTTCCTATTACAATGGAATCCACTTGGATACTGAACTGCCATGGGCTACATCTGTGCAGGGGTCTTAGGTTATCTCCATGCATGGTCCTTCGTTGGAGTATCAGTCTCAGGAAAGACCCCTGTGCTCAGAATTTTGGTTCTGTTGCTCTCCTTGTGGAGTTCCTGTCCTCTCCAGATCTTACAGTTTCCCACTTGATATATTACTTTTTAAAATTAGCGTTTTTACTAAAATATTCCAGGAGGCTACCGTACATGAAACAGGTAAAACTTGAGGTGTTTTGGTGGAAGCAGAAGAGAGGCCCCTGCGGTGTTAGGTGCTCCCTACCCCAGTTTCTACCATAGCGAGGCTCCCAGATATCATAGGCTGAATGACCGCTCTCCATAGCTAGCATAGTGTTGCATGACTCTTTCAAATACTATTAAGTTAGCTTTCTAGACACTGTACAATTGCTGAGCTTAAGCTTATGCTGACAGGAATCCTAGGTTACGGGATTCAGAGGTGAATGGAGGCAAAGCTAGTATGCCATGGTCTGCTAAAGCAGGGAGTGGGAGTATGCGGAGTCTTAAGAACTCAACAAATCCTGGTTTCCTGTTTCCCTTTCTTCCCTTTCTTCTCTATAGACTGGCTATTTACATTTCCTTTCAAGTGTCTTATGCTAAGATCCCATATAAGGTACATTCCTTTTTAAATTTAGAGCCCAAACCCTGATTGAGTGTGATAGCATGATCATGGTTACATTTTCCTTTTAGATGTAAGGTCAATTCCAGATGTCATTCCGCATGCTTTCACACGGTGGACACCCATGCTCTTGCCCTTGTGCAGAGAAGAGTTTGAGAATGCCGAGTGTGAAGCAATGTAAGAGGTAGCACTGCCTTGTTTTATAACTGTGATTCCATAGGTCATCCTGGAGAAAGCACTCTTGAACCTAGGTGACCATTTCATCTGCTCTTAATAAATACTTCATTTTTTCATTTATTAATTCTCCTAACAAGGGTGATAGTTTGGCTGCTCATTCTGTGAAGGAAAGATCTACCGTGTGGAGACCCAGAGAGCCTGAAGATTATTCCGGGAATACGTCTTACCTGGAGGAACTGGAGAAACATCGATTTTCAGTTTGGTGAGTGATTGCATTCTGCACTTAATTTTTTTTTATTTAAATTCTTTCACTCCAATAAATCTGCCCTTGCTATATTCTCTTCTTATTTATTTAGTCTACAAATACTGATTAAATGCTCATTGTTGACTATAGCATGCATACCTTGGCCTGCAGATGTTCACAGTTCAATGATAGATGTGGGTGTGTACATTAGCATGCTATGATGGGTGACTTTAAAAAAATATTTTTAAAGTCTATGTGATGGCTCCATGCCTCTCACCACCTCAGCCTTGGATCCCCTGTCCTCACCCACAGGCTGGACCCTTGGAAGGAGGACCAAACAAGACCAAATTTCTCTGAGAAAGTCGGAGTCAAGCCTTAAAGAGGAACCTGCACTATGAAAATAGAGGTGGTGCAGTGGAGGCAGAAGCTGAACTCTTAACTGGGGTGTGGCTGGCTGTATATGCTGAAAGCCTCAGTTCACTTATGATAGTTAAGGTCCAGGAAGACCTTCACTATTGCTGTTATTTATTACTTGGCTCATGCTTGTGGTTATATATGTACAAACACGTGTAACACGTCAAACAAGTGGGAAAGTGTTAGGACTGGAGGCCCTGAGTGGGAGCGACCACGGGGTTTTCTAGTGATGTGTTTATCTAAGAACTGGGGCAGCAGTGTAACAGAGGCAGCAAGCTTGCCGAGAAGCGACAGGAGAGCCAGTCAAGGTCATCTGTTCCCATCACTGCTTCTCTGCTCGCCCCAAGATCTTTTCATTGAATGGCTTTCCCATAGGGTAATACACCTGCCCTGTGGTTTGGTTATCCACCTTCACTCTCACTTTTTCACCCAGAGCTGCTGGATTGAGGTCGTAACTGTAACTCAGATCTCATCATTGAGTCACATATCCTGCTGGCATACACTTGACTTTCAAGGCCAAAGCACATTTATCTATGCTTTCTACAAGTGGAAAAACTGTGGTCTCCAGGCTTAAGAGGACATTGCTTTCTGTATGAAGGCACTAATTCCCATTTTAGTGCCTGCACTACAGAAGTGAGTTTGAGGCTTCACCTCTCTAGATTCATATTCACACATAGCTCTCTGAGAAGTGCCGTTCAGGCAAGTCCATCCAGGTACTCATTTGCTGCCTTCATAGTCTTTCATTTTTCCCTTCCTGCTACCTTTGTACAAGCCTTAGTCTCCATATCACTTACAGTTGGCATGCCTGAAAAATCTAGCACCAAGTTCTGCTGACAGGCCAAGAAGCTGGACATCCTGGGGGTAGCTACAGTCATGTCTGAATGACTAGCTGAACTTGGAGAAACACTTCCTTAGGTGGACCTGGTTTTTCAAATGAAAACCTTTCAGTCATTTTTATGCACCGGAGCCTTGAATGAGCATGGTCTTGGCTTCAAATTACCTTTGCTCTAGTCCCAGCATAAAACATTCCATTTCAGCTTGATGATGCCAGTTTTTATTAGTTAGAGAAGCAATGCCTACATTTGCTACACTTCATGTTTTATTTTTTCCTTTCTTATCTGAACTACTTGATTTTCACATGTTTCTGAGCTATTTTATACTCACTGTAAATGTCGCTGAAAGCAGACAGCAATAACCCTGCCACATTCTGAGTGGTGTGCTGCTTTGAAATTTCTTCTGGCCTATATAATAGTCTCTTATCTTTTAATTCAGCCTCACTCAAATGTCTAGAGCTAGGGAAGAGTGTAGCAAGAGTCTTTGCCAGGCTGTAATTTGAATGTCCCAAAATCTAATTGCTGGTAGAGTCCCTGCTTCCATCTGAAACCCTATAAGTATAGTCATTGCTGTCTACTTTTCTATCAACATTGTAGTCTTAAAGACTTTTACCAAAACAGTTCATTAATCTCAGCTCTCAGATCCATAATATTTCCCTACTCCAGAGTGCTCAACTCTTCCATGTTCTTCCTCCATACCAATTCCAAAAGCTTACAAAGAACACGGCGAGATGTGCTGCAACAATGACCCCACTCTTGGCACCAATTTTCAGCATTTGGTCCTTTTCTTTTTGCTGTGACTAAATACCTGATAGAAGAGACGTAGGGAGGAAGGGTATGTTTTGCTTCATGCACTGTGATGAGGGAGGTATGGCAGAGAGGCTCTGCTGTGTGTAGACAGTGTGCTCCTCACTCGGCAGCCATATCACATAGCATCAAACTGAGACCAGAAACAGATGTGACCTTCAAGGATCACCCCCGGTGATATATAACTGCCAGTGAATCACGTATCCCAGAGGTTCCACAGTCTCCCTAAACGGCACCAACATGTATTCAGACAGGATCCCATGGAGGACATTTTCACTCAAACCTAAGGATCTCAGAGCTGTGCTTCTACACTGTAACTCCGGGGCTGGACCAGGGCCTTTCTCTATGTTTGTTAGTAAAACATTAACTTCAGGATGCTTTGCCTTTGTCTTTCTTAGCAACTAGCCATCTTATACATTTTCATTACCAGTGCTGTGTTCTGATTTGCAAAAGGTTTAATGACTTGCAACATCCGTTTTATTTACTCACAATTTTGAGGGCTATGGATTTGGGCAGGACAAATCATTAAAAATACTATCTAATTGTTCAAAATTAGTCATGGGCCAGCTAGAGAGTGTACATGATAACTCCTGATGTAAGAACTGAAAAGGCGCCTCTGCAAGAGAGCAGGTTGGCATGGAAGACACTGTGCATCTGTCTTGAAGACATGATCTAATGCACTGCATTTTGCTTTACGGATTCCTAGGTGGGGATCAGTCATTGTTTCTAGAGTCAAACCCTCACGGAACAACATAAAAACATGATAGCTTTCTAGATAGATCAATCTGGATAGGAAATCCAGTTCTGCCACGACTTTGGACACTTAATGTGGTTAGCCCTTTTTGTAGATATTTCCTCTTTTCTCAAGTATATCTGATATTCATACCCTCCTCTAAATGCCTGTGGGTTTTTAGTTACTGTGAGAGTTCAATAGATAATGTACATGAAGACTGGAACACATAGATTCTTAAGGAGAGAAGCTATTGTCGGGAGCATTTCACAGAAAAGCCTTGTCTGAAAGTTAAAATAGAGGACTCTTACACTAAAAGCTTGGTCAGTAGCTTGTAGGACTCTAAGAGATGGACCCAGGAAATGGGCCCAATGGAAAGGAGTTTGGTCATTAGATGCACTCCTTTGAAGGGGAGGTTGGGACTAAGGCTTTTTCTTGTCCCTCTTTTTGGATTTCAACTAGTATGAGGACTTGAGCCTCCACCTCATCATCTGATTTTTTGCTATACCAACACAACAGGCCCATGCAACTGGGAACTGTAAGCTTTGGAGTCATAAACCCAAACAATCTTCTTCTCTTTGAAGATGTTTAACTCAGGAAATCTGTCACAGTGACCAAGCACTGAGTAATATAAGGGTGTAGGTTATTCAAGATGATTTGTCATTATGTACAGCTGTCTTCCTTTTTCTTTGCCACACACACTAAGCTCTGGATGACAAGAGGGCTTTTGTGCTTCCTGCCTTCTCTATCTGGAACGTTTACCCACTCCACAGTGCCATGGTTAGGACAGATGACAGATCTCACCATCAGCTGCATTCTCTAGGGCAGGCTGTGCCTGATGATAAAACACAAAAGCAGAGTGTGCTCCTGCTCTGGTTATCTTCTTTCTTATCACTCTGTTTCCTTTACATATTTCCTGCAACTTAAAAGAATATTTTCTGTTTATTTGTTTGTTGTTTGTTTCTGTGATCTCACCTTATACCAAAGCTGCAGGTAGAAGGCCCTCTGAGCCTGCAGTACGTGTTCTTTAACTTGATCTGATCAGTTCTTGTCAGTTGAATGAACAAATGGACAGACAGATAGTGGGTCTATCTCACCCTCTCACCCTATTGGCTGATACATCAATTAATTTACCTCCAATCATTTTCTTCTCTTGACACTGCTGCTGTTTTTAGAAAGGCAACATGAAAGCCTTAGGTATTCTGAACATTTTGGTTTAACCAGAGCTGAGGATGTGGGAGCCGGTGCAGTGATGTAAACATCTGTTTTCACTGCTCTCAGATACAATCTGAACAATTTCCTTCATTCTTTTTTATTAGAGCTACTAAATCACATGCTGATGCAGCCTTTGCCTAAATCCTCTCCAAATCCTCCTAAGATGCATTTAGCACAGAACACTGAACTCCCTGACTTCGAAGCTAAATATGACATCAAGTGGATAGTGTGAGCCCTGCTCCAGCTAGTTTGAGTGAAGTTTTCCCTCTGTGCATGTCTTGAGTGCTCTGTTATATATGCTGACTCATTCTGACAGCACCATGCTTTTTTTTTTTTTGGTAGCCAACAATTTCAGAAAATTTGGTAGATTTCTGAAATCCTCAGTAAACCATAGTCACCTTTTTTTTTTCCCCCTTTCTTTCTTTTCTCTCTTTCAACATATGGACACTTCGGCTAGTCAAGTGTGTGTTTAAGCACCCCTTGCACAGTGGCCTAAGGGTAGTACCTGTCATTCACCTCTGCCGGCCTCACCACACAGGCACTGTACTATCTGACCTCACAGGAATGAGATTATAGTTCAATAAGATATTTGGAGAGAGAGGCTATCTCCACATATCTTTCCCACAGTATCTTGCCGTAGTTGGCCTCTCTTGCTATTAGACAGTCCTTAATTCTTTGCTGTTCTTAATGTAGACATTTAATTTGGCCATGGGTAACTATGCACAGAAAAAAAAAAACAAACACATAATATACAGAATTTGTTTCCACTCATGGCTTCAGGCATCCACTGGTGGTGGGCAGCTGTCTTAGAGCATATTCCCTACAGAAAAGAAGGAGTCCTGTTTTATTTTAGGTCAAAAAAGACATTGTCCACTGGGAAGCTTTTAATTTAATTTATTTTTTCCTGTGAAAGCAGGGACTTTGGGGAGAAAGCTTATAATGTCCATTCAGTTAATTACATAAATAACCACTCATTTGGCTGTTTAAACACAGCCACGGAATCCCATTGCCTGCGGAGC